GCTGCGTCTCTCGGTCTAGATATCAGGCTGGAGAACCAGACTTCACAGCGAACTATGGGGCACATTTACTCTGCAGCCTGAATGTGGGTTTCAGTGCCCAATACCACAGCTTTAAGCTTTTTTCCAATTTTTGCTTTAATAACAGCACTTGGCAGCTGTCTCAAAACGCCTCTCATAACGCCAAGATGATTTGCACTGGTGTAGCTATAGAATAATTGCCCTGAAGTCATGGGAGAGATGCCAGTTATACCATAAAATTTAGAGAAGAAAAAAATTTGCCTCCCACATGGGAATTTTACCATTAGATCCAACAAGAGATTTACTCAGTTATTTAGGGTACTGCTCCACAACCAACTCAAAAAGTACAATGGTGATTTTCAGCCATTTTACACCACCCAGTATAAGTGATATGTGGAATAAGTTTTACTGATGCAGAATCTTGGGACAGGTTCACAGTACACAAAACCAATTCTTACATTGCTAAGTTTTTACATCTGCCTGGTAGGTAGACAAACCTCTTTCCCAAATCACAGCAAAATAGGGTTTGGTTAGACCAGTTATAATTAAATCAAGGACTGATGCTGGTTTTAATGCAAAAAGTAAAAGAGATGAGTCACAGGGACATAAGCTTTTCCTCCTTCTCTTCAAAACTGCTTCCAGGAATTGACCTGTCTTACATCAACACAACGGTACCCACATCCACAGCAGGAGAACAAAGCTGCATCAGGGAAAGTTTAGACTTCACATTATGAAAAATTTCTTTACCGAGAGGTTTAGACTGGACACGAGGAAATGAGGAAGCATTTCTTTACCGAGAGGGTGGTCAAACACTGGAACAGGCTTCCTAGAGAGGTGGTTGATGCCCCATGCCTGTCAGTGTTTAAGAGGCAGTTGGGCAGGGTCCTTACAATTTGCTTTAACTTTTTGATCATCCCTGAAGGGGTCAGGCAGTTGGAGTAGGTGATCGTTGTAAGTCCCATCCAACTGAAATATTCTATTCTATTCTAACACAAAGGATGACAGACCAGATCAACCTTGCTAATTTAGTCTATTGCTTTTAATGAGTATCCCATTAAGACATGAGAAGATGTAATTGTAAAGGTACGTTACTATATTTTATGTAGAGCAACTCTAAATAGGTAGAGTGAGGTTGGTCAAAAAAAAGGTACCACGGAAACTACTTTTTCACTGGAACTTCCATTTAATTTGAGTAAATTAAAATTTAGGCAAGAATTATCTTCTTTCTGTGGAATTCTTTTTCATTGAAAGAGCATTGCGATATTCAGATGACCTAAGTTGTATCTTTTCACCTGTCAAGGTGGCCTACCATTCTTTCAGAGGGAAGGGCCCAGTGAGTTTGTCAGTTCTCCATCATACCGCTTCTAATGCATAAAGCTTGAATTTTATGCCAAAGTATTTCTAAATACCTGCTTTACCAACACTTTCTTGCAGAATGCAGTGAAGGAATAACCTTTCATAAAAATCCCTAATATCTTGCAATACCACATACTCCCCACTGGGTGCTAATTATATTACTGAAGAGCACTGTCCCTGCAGTCTGCTGTGGAAACGTAGGCAAGTTGGGAAGCTAATTTCACCAGCTGCTGTGTCCTTACTACACCGAGCATTCTCAATTCCAAAGGAGGGAAGGAAGCCAACAAGATGTACTGGTTCTCAGCAGCACACATGATCAAACGCTAGATTTTAAGTCTGAGAAGAAACAGTTTAGTTCCCTAGAAAAATAAATTCCCTTGATTTCAGTGGGCACAACCTTCACTATATAGACCTCTCTATGAAGTACATAGGGCACAGTGCTGATGCCATTAGACACAGCAACTCAAGAAAATTAAAAACACCACAGCATTCCCAGACTGTGGGAATAATACGACCCTAATAACAGTTTTAAAACCTGGTAGTCTATTTGGCAATGCAACTATTTAGAGATTGCAAGAAGCATCTGTCAGATGTCTGTAAGCAAAAAGACCGGCAGAATTATTTATGATGAATGACTGCCAAGTACAATAGCAGCTGGAGAGTCTCCTCTCAGTTTTACCCTCCACCAGCACGTGTCAGTTTAATCTATAGGAATTATTGTTGGAACACTTGGAGCTATGAGAACCTCTGGTTAAGCAAATCAGGGTTTAAAAAAAAAAAAAAAATTAAAATCCTATGTGCAGTTTTCCATCCAAGATGGCAGGATTAAACCCATTCCTAAAGTATAATAAATTCAGTCTGGAGTTCACACAGAAAGATTCTATTTTGCCCCTCTCCTCAGAAAATCCATCCAGTAAAATCTGAAGTAATAGCTGCACACATTTCTTTTGAGATGCATCTTGAATGAAAACCAAATGAATTCACTGAAGAATTTGCCACCCTTCTTATGAGAAGTAGTAACACGTTGCTATAGGCAGTGGAATATTTATTAGCACAAGATCATGGCTACCCTTGAACTTAATTAGAACTGCCAGTGTATGAAAATGCACATCTGAATCTCAAGTTTTGTTTGTTGGGTGGGTTTTTTTGGTTTGTTTTTATGAAGATCAATTCAAGCTTAGCTGTGTGATATAAGCAGGTAGAAGTAGTTTATTTATATTCACACTGCCAGAGGTCTGAAGCAAATATTAGTCTCATAGTATGACAAGCACTGAGCGTGCAGATAACGGCACGCTGCTTCCTGTGGCAGAACAAGCTATAAAAAACCATAAATGCCTCAAGGAAAACACTCCGTAATCTTTAAGACTGAATGTAAAAAGACAAGTACAATTGGATGAGCAATACCACTAGAAGCTTCTTCCTACCTAGTCTCTTTAATCTTCTATTTTCCTTCCTACAAATTTCACCCATTGCTATTACTTTTCTTCTGGCTTCCATGCTTTCCTTTTAATTCTTTTTTTTTTTTTTCCCTTTATTTGCTCTTTGCTCTAATTCTTTCTTTTCCATTTCCACGGCATTCTAGGTCACCTTCCTGTTAATACTTGCATTTGGTAATACGCTAGCAAACTACACTTAGACAAAATCTACACCTAGACATGCTCCCGGATAACACCTTTATCCTTTATCTGAAGCAGCAAAGGAATCCGCTCTGAACATTGCTCCCAGTGATAGTCTATGGCTAAGTCCATTTTTCTCCCTTTCTCCTCTAGCTGTTGGTTGCTTTGTTCTCTCCAAGCCACTTAACAGTTTATTTACAAAACCAGGTTTTACACATTATAGAAGTGGAAAAATACCTTTCTCCATCTTTACAAGAGACACCTAGGAATAGAAACACTTTGGAAGGAAGAAATGAGCACTCCACCACCACAGCCTCTACCCTATGTGGGCCCTCAGGTAGGTGGAGATATCAAAGCATTACAAAGCCCTGTGCCTCTGCTTCAGGGATGTTCAGGATCAGTTAATCAATTTTCATTGGTAGCTTTTATTCTCTGCTAAATAGCCCCTGCAGAATTTTGTCCAGAGTAGGAAAACAGTTAAGGACGTCTAGTGCCTTGACTATGAAGTGTACGGGTCTCCATACAGAGACGCAAAGCTTCCACAGGTTACACCAAGATCTCAGAAGCAAAGAATACAAAGGGACAGTCCAAACCCCCTCCTATCACTCATTTCCCTATTGATTACACTCTAAAAACCTAATTTCAGTCTGAAGGTGAAAAAAGCAGGGGCATGCATCTGGCTTTGGATATTCTTTTTTTCTTCCTCTTGCAGTGTGTATCCTGCTGCTGAGGCCTTGGGAACAATTGGTCCATTTCAAATTTCTTTTTAAGCCAGGCATCCCCTTCCCATGAAAGCCCAGTTAACCATCCTCTGGGTAAGCAATTCCTTAACACGAGGCACAGACATGCCCTGTCAGCACACGGGTAGTCAATCGGAATTGTTGGCAGATGAAGAGGTGGCTCTGGGATGACTGCTGAGAGCTGAACCCTGCCGGCTTTGGCCAAGAGAGCCCAAATCCACCTCAGTCAGGCAGCCATGCTCACAGCCACAGTCAGACCATGGATTTGCCCCTGCTACAGCAAGCCTGAGCAGGACCTGAATGCACCACAGGCTGCTTCCCCCAAGCTCACGCTGAAAGGCTAGCTTGTTCTTAGCCTAAACCGTCTTCAGCCTCTGAGGTGGTGAAGCCAACCAGGATGGATTAGGAGGGGCAGGATTCATCTGCTAACATAGGTTTCCCACCTAGACTTGTCCCCTGAAGCTGCCTTCACAGTCGGTTCAGAGACTCACTTGCTTGTTCACATCAGATAAGGTGAAGTCATCTAAAAGGATCCAGGACAAAACAATCACACTGAAGATACCTGAAAGTTCAGGGCAGGGTGGAGTTCAGCAGCCTGTATGAAAGCCTTCCCACTGTATTCTTCAAGGCCAGAAGCCCATGCAAACTGCACTAAGACTCGTTTCACTGGATGCCCTTACTAGCGTAACCACCAGGTAGGCTCAGCCCCAAAGAGGGGACCTGAACAAGAGTCTTACATCCGAGGCAGCTAAGATGTGAATCTGGGGGAAACGCTCCATGTTTGTACTGTGGTTCCTATGGTTATGTAGAAGATGCTTTCTAAAAAAGTATCAGTAGAAAGCCCTCTCGCTGCCTTCCCCTGTAAATATGTAAAAATCGCTATTATCATGCCAAATCTTAATTTGACAAGTCAGGCTATTTCAAAACAATCTGTCTTTAGGGAAGGCCTTTGTCGTGAGAGTTGAAGGCTGAAAATTGGCTCCTTTCCCTGTTTTGGTTTTCAATGAATGAGACAAGTTGCAGAAAATGCCTTCCCAGTCTCACTGGCATAAGAGCACAAGCATAAGAGAAACAACGCACTCTTTGCAGGGGAAGTTCAGCCATGTATGAAGAAGCACGAGCACATACCAATAACCAGCCATCGGCATATATGTTCCAAGTTTGCACGTGACAGGCGAGCTCGTATTTACTGGGGGCTCATCAAAGATAGCTGAAGCCATTGTTCTCTTACAGCGTTGCAACAGTTCCCTGCTTGACTCTCCCCGCTTATAGTAATACTCTTAGCCATTTTATCTTGTTTTACTGTAACAAAGTGTATTAGAGGAATCTAGCCAGACCATTTTTGTCTTCTGAACCACAGGTTTGCTTTTTCCAGTAATCACCTACAAGGTCCACTTGAAATGGGATGCCCAAACTGTGCACGCAAAATGAACTTCATGTAGGGGACAAACATACTACACATGGTGGACATAACTCGGCTGTGGCTGCACAGAGGGTCAAGGTCACACACTTAGAAAATAATATGCATAACGTAAATTATGCTCCTGTCCCAGTAAACACACTATGTTATACACCTTTTATGTGTGGCTAGACATGCAGACCTACCTTCAAGTGCATACATCCTAATGACATAACTTCAAACTTTTCCATGTAGTAGTTACTTAGTAGTTTGTCTATGAATTTCAAAACATTGCCAACAGTGCAAACCTACATCAGCTCAAAGAAGCCTTTGAAATAGTAGTCCCGAGCTCCTTCTAGCCCCAGGGAAATAATCCCAGGTACATTATCCTCTGCGGGACTAGGACATACTTTACTCTCTCTGTTGACCTCAGGTTTAAACTGTCATGTCTGCAGGCAACACAGGAGGGTTTCACTGCCAACTTGTGACTCAGAAGAATTGGACCAGCCTAACAAGCCATTAAAAAAAAAAAAATTATGTTGCACTTCCATCACTCTTGCCTACAGCTGTTTTGAAAACCAAGAGAAACAATCTGCAAAACATGATCTCAGAGAAGCCAAAAATCAGAGCAATGGAAGAATATAACCAATCCCATGTTTAATCTGTCAGCACAAAGCTAACTTTCCACTTGTACAGAATGAAACAAAAGAAATGAGATTATAACACACAGATACCTCCAGGACTTACAGTTTCGTTCTCATCTCAGTTGAAAAAGACCTACTGCTATATTTTGGGAATTCCTTGGGATTCCAAGAAAAAACTTTTTTCTTATGGGGAATCAGTTTCAAATAAAAAGGGAAGAGACACCAGGCCTGGCAATTCCCCTACCCCAACCACTTCTACACCCTCTCGTGCTGCTCCTCATCTTCCGCAGTGCCCCAAGGGAGCTGGTTTTAGGATGGGGCACGGGGAGGATGGGGGAAGACATACAGATAGGTCATTGCTAATCCAATACACCCAGGCATCCAGCTATAGGAACACAGGCTCTGGCATTCAGCGTTTCCAAAACAAGCAAGCTCACACTCGGGAGCACTCTCAGGCATCCACCTCGCTATCCTTTTTAATCGACTCTCCAAAATCCTGGGCCTGGAGATCCAGGCAGTGCCCGATGGCCTCTGCAGTTTCACACGCTGACGGAGCCATACCTTCTGCCCCACGCAAGAGATGCAG